AATAATAATAATAATAATAATAATAATAATAATAATAATAATGGATATCCATTACTAAGCTACAACTTGGTAAACACCTTTCCGCATAAGCGCATGACAAAAATAACGGTCATACAGTGCTAGGCAACGGAACGTTAAATACGAAACAAAAATGAAAGGTGTTTCTATGGGGTCCGTGCTGAGTCTAAACAAAGACTCTGTAGTTAAGAGATCAGAGAGAAATTTACCTTCCAGAATTGGAACTGGGAGTTGTGAGCGTCAAGAGAATTATTGGAGAATTCTTTCAGGGAATAGGAAATGGGAGTTCAGAAGTTTTAAGAGAATTGTTAAAGAAGAATTATAAGTCAGCCTGTGAAGACTTGGAGCGTAATTAGAAGATTCTATGTGTGACAGAGGTCCAGTAATCTTTAGAGTGTTGTAATTATTTTTTGTTACAACTTGTGAGGGTTTAATAAATCTACTCACAAATCCAAACCCCGTCTACCGTCACTAACAAACGTAATAAAATTCAGTAAGAAAACCCAAAGGAACTCCGAAAAAAATACCGCTGCAGTGTAACTTTGTCCTTCATGAACACCAAATGTTGTCTCCCAGTATACATCAAAATAAATTACGATAAAGAAAACCTTTTCGTGATTTTTGGGAAGCAAATGTGTCAATAAAATATGTGGATTATATTTAGGGGGTGTGGAGGCCCTGGGACAATCGACGCAGTCATTTCCTTTTAAGCACGGACCTGCCTGCTGCTCTCTGCCGACAACTTATGGTACTTTACCTCCATAACCGGTCACACACAAGAAGATCGTCATACCAACACCAAAAGCCCAGACGTTTCGGAAGAGACCATTGTAAAAGGCAGACTCCAGTAGGGTTTTATCAGCGTCGGGCTGATAGAACGAATAAATTCCGTCGAGGGATGCCAGCATAGCGACGATGCTCAGAATCCAGCCCGCTGTTATCTGTATCTGCAGTGAAAATAAGATAAGATTTGTCTTGAGAAAAAAGTAGATAACCGTCATCATCATTATTACTTGACCTAGTTCTCTGTTCTTGTTACAATTCCTGTCTTCAAGGATAGGGGTCTCCAAACTTTTCGAAACGCGGGCCACATTAGGTAATTCAGCACTTTCAACGGGCCGGATAAAATGAGAAATTAATAACTCTAAGAAACGTTCTGGAAACATCCTTTGTCGGCTGGGAGGGGTAACCGATAGCCGTAACACACCGGCCGTCGTAGAAAGGACTAAAGTTCCGGTAGCCTTATCAACATTCCTAGCTACCAATTCTCGTAACAGTTAGAGCAAAACTGGGCATAAGTTGCCTTTAATACAAAAATGGTAATAAGTTCGACACCGGCGGTGGTGATGATCTGCTACAATTACATTGCACCACTGCAAGAAGTGTTGTGCACAAGACGGCTACTAACGAACTGCTCGCGCTACCTACATTGCCACGAAGTGACTGCCGATCGAGACCGAACAAATACGAAGAAATACAGCCCAGTATACGGTCCAGAATTAGTAAAATTGTGAATAATATTAATACTAACATAATATGGAATATCAATATATTTTAAACACGATCTTAATTAAAGAATTTGAAATCTATGAACAAGTATTTTTTTACCAGTACTCATTGGAAAATTAGTTCAATTGGCGCATTTCTGCATAATTCTTTCGCGGGACGGGTAAAATTAATTCGCGGGCC